TTTCCATGTTTTATCAAATACTAATTATGCTCGTGCTCATTCAGTGATCATTTATAATTGATCATCATCTATCTTCGGCAAAATATGGTCATTATGTTATGTTCCTTAGCTAAACCACTTGAACAAAAGATGAAACATATATTTTCTACATAAGTTTATGTTTTATGAGACTTTTAGTAATATTTTCTTTGACTTTGTAATTAGCTAACGTATAGTTTGTTTAAATTGTTTTCAATATATTAAGTTGTGGAGCAACACAATATGTTGAATAGAGCAAGAAATAAAAGGCTCAGATTTTATACGCCTTTGATAAGTGGATTACTTTGATAATCATTTATCTATAATTACAAATGTGGTTATATATTCATGTAATTTTAAATTTGTAGACTAGGAAACAATCAGGAGGATATGAGTGTGGTTTGTATTTCATGAAAAACATGTTAAAAATTGTCTTTGTCGACATTGTTGATTCTTGAAATTATATATATATATATATATATATATATATATATATATATATATATATATATATATATATATATATATATATATATATATATATATATATATATATATATATATATATATAGAGAGAGAGAGAGAGAGAGAGAGAGAGATGATCCACTTACTCCAAGAGTAAGTTTTTATAACTTACTCCACAATCATAGCCTTTAAATTAGATTTAGTCGAATAGTTATAAGTAAAAATTCTAATTTAACCACTAAATTATATTAAATCTAAAGGTTATGATGTGGAGTAAGTTAAAAAAACGTACTCTTGAAGTAAGTTGATCACCACTCATATATATATATATATATATATATATATATATATATATATATATATATATATATATATATATATATATATATATATATATATATATATATATATATATATATATATATATATATATATATATATATATATATATATATATATATATATATATATATATATATATATATATATATATATATATATATATATATATATATATATATATATACACACACACAATAACATATTAATGATTTATACTGCAAACATAAAATTTAGTTATTATTTCAAATCAAATGATTTATATTTCTTTTAATTTTTTATATAGATGTTTAATGGCACTACACCATTTTCATAATAAGACTTTAAAGACGTTCGTGTATGTTAGGCATTTTGCTTTAATTCGATTTATAGGCAAGACTGATCACATTTATAGTATTTTGTAATATATGTTTTCAATATTTTTGGATTTGGTGTAAATAATATTTAAGTTTTTTTTAATATTTTGGTACTATATTGAAGTCATATTTGGTGCTTACATATAATGTATATGTATAAGCCATATAAGTCATATTTTGGTTAAAAATATTCGTGCATTTGTTGGTTCATATTCTATTGTGGTAGAAAATATGGTATACAATACGAGTAGTAAAAAAAATTGGGCATATATGGAATATTAAAAAAAAACTATTTAAAAAAAAAAATATTTCACCACGGTTACAACAATCAACTGAGGTGGAAAGTGGAGCGCCAAATATTATATATCATGGTGTGACTGAGAGTCAAACCCATGACTATTGATTAAGATTATTGTGATAAAATGTGGCGTGCTACCTAGTTTATCACCACGGTCACACGCCCGTGCTAGAAAGTAACATACTTACTACCAACCCCTACGTTACCATGGTTCATCAACCGTGATGATATCCATTTTTCAATTGTGGTGAAAGATTCTTTTTGTAGTAGTGTTGATGATACCAATGTGGTGGAAGAGTATAGACTTGGAGAAGAAAGAATAAAAACTATGATGGAGAAGGCTTAGTTTGAAATTGAGGATCCTGCTAGGGAGACTAAGGATGAGGAGAAAGTTAAGACTTTTGATTCTAGTTCTAGTGAGGGAAAATTTTATAGTGGTTCCTGATTATCATTTGACTCCTGATATGATAAAGAGGGAGATTGTATCATCTCAGGGATACAATTGTATTTACCTTGGTTGTTATGCTTTGTATGTGGATGGAGGATTACAAGACTCATAACTAGATATCTTAAGGGAGACATTTAAAAGCAAAAAAGTTAAATATGGTTGAAGTCACTTAATTGTAAAAGACACTCACTGATGAAGAACTATACTTATGGACTTACCAAGCTGCCTAAGAAGGAGAAAGTGATTGATCTCAAATGGATGGATGTGAATTAATCTAGGTTCAAGCGTTATTTAGCCTTAATCAAATTCATTGAATAATGATTCAAGATTTGGAGAGAGCAGCAAGGTGGTTGATGAATAAATTGGCATCACCATTAATTTTGAGTGAAGGTGGAGATTTGTGAAAGAATGCCTCAAAAACCTCAAGTGATCAAGGGGAAGAACATTTATGTTTGATTGACTTGGTTAATAGTCCACACTCAACCAACGACTAACAATTGATCAATGACTTCGTAAACGATTTGACTTGCTTAATCAACTCGAAGGGGGCTCGGTGAGTTTATGGATTGAGTATGGAAACTTGGCCTATTCATGATTTAGAAAATTATAAATATGGTTCTTTGCAGTTTTGTTAGTTAGAGAGGATGAAAGAAAGAGGGAATATGGGGTAATTCTTGTGAGAGAAATTTAGAGAGAAAATGGTATAAGTTTCTTGAATTCACCGTTCTTGAAATTTGGAAGACCTTTTGAGATATTTAAGGAGATTAAGAGACACTTTTGAATACTTTGCATTTGTGTTATTCATATATTAAGAGTTTGGGAGATTAAGAAATACATAAGTTGAAAATAAAGTTTGTTCTTGAAAATTTGAAATATTGTTTTCTTGTACCTCATTTACAGTCTTTTGTAATAATTTTTGAAATATAACCAATTAGAGAGTTTCTCTCTAGTAAATTGTTTATATCAAATTGAGTAAACAAATTTTGTGTACTCGTCTTTTATCCTTTTCTTACTTGTATAAATTTGCTAAAACTCTTTTGTGTGTATATTAATTTTTCTTGAGATTATTTATTTTAGTTGCATTTATTCTATGTCTCATACATCAAAAAGATATCAATATAATAGAACCTTTCAATTTCACAACAAAATTTAAATGACAGCAAACTTAAACGTTGTTTTCTCATTAACTATAACCGTAAGCCATATATAGTAGTCCTTCCATTTTTCCATAAATAAATGTTCTTTATCTTGTGAGACATAGATTTTTCACAAATAGTTAACTTTTAATTCCTTTTAAAAAAATTTATCTTGGGTAGACCGACAACTAGATCTATTGAAACTACTTTATTTAGTACGTCAAAGTTGATATGCGCTAAGCGTCTATGCCATAACCAAGTCTTCACTCATGGTGACAAGACATTTAGTGCTAGTTAAAGATACTTCATTCAAGTCAAGCATATAGACATTGTTTACCCTTAAGCCCTTAAACACAACATATTTCTTATCATTGTGTTCAATTATGCAACAATTTTTTGAAAAAGAAACTTTATATCCTTTGTCGCACAATTGACTAATGCTAATAAGATTGTGCTTAAAGCCTTCAACTAAAAGGACATCTGAGATAGTACTAGACGATGGATTACCTACACTACCTTTTCTGGGTATAACACCCTTGTTGTGACACCATATGTTACAAATTCTTTCTTCTTTGCCACAAAGTCAATGAACAAAGAAATGTCACTAGTCATGTGCCTTGAACATTCACTCTCGAGAAACCATCTTCTCTCTGTAGATTCAAGGCCTTTCACCTACAAAATTAAAAAAGGGAAATATGTACCCAATTTCCATTGGGTCCTTGTGTGTGAGTGAATCTTTGGTTGCATTTTGGCAACCATTGGAAAATACCTTTAGGAACGAAGAATCTTTTAAACCGGCATTTTGTAATAGTGTGTCTCTTCTTGCAATAATATAGACAAGTAATGGTTGAATTGGAGTTAATTTTGCTACTTAGATCTCTTATCATATATGTATATTTTTTTATAAGGATTATTTATACTACTTCTAAAATGTGAACGATCAACCGCAAATGTAACTTTAGGTTTTAAAGCCTTATCTAATTTGGCTTTAAGAGTTCTAACCTTCTTTTTCCAAATGTGACAAGTTTCACAACCCCAATTTAACCAAGAGGACTTTTCATCCTCAATTTTAGCTTTTGTAGCCTCTACCATTGAGTTCTTAAGAGCTTCTAATTCCTTTTCGGAATCAGAAATCTTTTTCTCTAAATGCGAGAAAATTTTCTTATTTGAGACTAATCGTTTGAAAGCCTTTTTAGCCTCATTGTGTAGAGTTTCAAAAGCATTTTGCAAATTGGAATAAGAAATTTTATCAATATGTTCATATTTAGAATGACTTACATCATTTTTTTTCTTTTGATGAGCCATGAGACAAAGATTGACAGATTCGTCTTCATCACTTGAGTCACTTTCGCTAAAGGACTCATTATCACTCTCATAAGCAATGTATGCCCTTCTAGGCTTACTCGTTTTCTTTTGCTGATGATTTTTGTCTTTTCCTTTCTCTTTATTCATCAAGGAAAAATTCGACTTGTAGTAACCGACCTTTCCGTACTTATAGCATAACCCCTCTTTAGCCTTATTTTGATTTTATTTGTTCTATGTCTCATACATGGAAAAAAAAACATTAATATAATTGATCCTTTCAATTTCATAACAAAATTTTAACATATTATTTTGTCATTAAATATAAGCCCTCTTTCGTAGTCCTCCCACTTTTTCCATAAATAAATGTTGTTTATCTTGTGAGTACATAGATTTTCACAAATAATAGTTGACTTGTAATTCCTTCTAAAAAATTTATGAAAAAGCAATTGTAGTAGTTTAAGAAAACCTACTCCCACAATGCTTGGAAAGAATGGAACATAAGTGGAACAAAAACAATCACTTTCCAAATGAAATTCTTTGTATGTTGCAAACTCATGAAACCTGTCCACCCTCTTGCATGTGGTAAGTACCATGCTCCTCTTTGATTGTGTGATGTTGTTAATTTTAACTAGTTTCTAAGTATATCTCTTCTTGGTTTCACTATACAATACAACTCCTATAATAGTGAGTACATAGCCAAGCATTCCTATCATTGAAATAGGATTTTGAAATATCAAAATTGAAATCACCACAGCAACTGCCCCCTTTGCATTTCCTAATACCTGAAAACATTTTCACAAAATATAATCACTTTGTAAGAACTTTCTATCTTTTCAATCAATATTTTTAAAACCATAATCTTTGTTAAAAAATCATAATCAAGTTTAATCATATGATATTGAGACATACCTGAAGGGTGAGTGCACTTGTATATTTGGTCACCAAAAAATTAGTGAGGTTCACAAAATATGCAAGTGATGAACTCAAAAGAAGATACCAAATGATTCTGAAATCCTCTCTAGCAAGTTCTATTGTGATTCGAATCACATTTCCCTCCATCAACAATGTTGCAGGAAGTAACACCAACATTGCTATAGGTGCCATGTAAAGTAGTAAGTTCATCGAATTCAGCTTTTCCCTATAAAACATCAACATTGTTCTAAGTTAGTTTACAATGGAAGCAGATAATTGCTGCACTAATTAGCATTTATAGCATGTAACACGGATACTTCTGAACGAAGATACATTTAATGTTCGACATAGATAATGAAATGATACTATCAAAAAATGAAGAGTTAGTTAGAGCGAATGTAGGAGGTAGTTAGTAAGTTGGTTACACTTAGCTTTCAAGGTTGTTAGTTAGTTAACTTGTAACACAAGCTACTATCTAATATGCGTGTAACATGATAGTTATAGTGCTCCACCATCCTCTTAATGAATGAATACACAAGAGAAACAATTCAATCGTTTTCTATTTTCAATTGAATTTTAGTATGAACTTCATGATTGATAATAGACACCAGACGCATGATTACATTCAATTAATTTCTTTTCTCATATTTTTAGTGGCGTCAGCGTAACACTCACGTGTCTGACATTCATGTCATTATTCAAATGATGCAGCTGTGCAATTTAGACCCTCTGATCAAAATTGAACGACTCTTGTTATAGATTTGTTTAAATTTGATTAAAAATAACTAATAACAAGAGTCGTTAAATCTTAACCAGATGGTCTGAATTGCTTGACCGTAATTTCTCGATTGTAGAGAATCAAAATCCAAAAAAATCATTACCCTTCCGAGGACAACAAAATAGCTTGAAGCACTGATTTAAATGCTCTTGCAGCAGTTGATGCAACACAGATTATAAATCCAAATAGATGAAAACTTGGTTCACTCTGCATAAAAAATATTATATATGTATATGTCAGATCTCCATAGCATATAACACTGACACCTCTGAAAAAAAGTGTGTCGGTATCAATGAATGCAATAAAAGAAAAATATTGAAGATGAAAAACAATTTACCCCACTAGCAATGATGACACCAGCCACAACAGGCAAAAGGGTACAATAAGTAACCCAAGCTTCTCTTTTTCTACTCACAGCATAAGCAAAAACGGCAGTGAAAAAAGGTGTCGTAGCTCCAATAGCTTGATTAAACGACACTGGAATATAATTAAGCGACACGTTCCCACAAACCACTGAGAAACAAAACACAACACTTAATCCACAGATTTTGAGTAACTGGCTCTTGGATTGAACACTTTGCAAAGGTACAATATCCAAAACCGAAATTCCAACGTAGCTGAAAACAGAACACAACATCATGTGACACATGGTGAGAAAAACAGGGTACTTGTAACCGTAGTTGGTTAACAAGTACTTGTTCATAAGAAGAACCCCAATGTTTGAACTGTACCAAGAAATCACCACCATGATTGTTGGCCATGGGATTGAGTTTTTCATCATCTGGGTCATGTTGGATTAGATCAAAATTCAATCTTTTTATAAAAATAAAAAAAATAAAAAAATCTTTTCTTTTTGGTGTTCTTCAAGGAAATGGAGAAAAAGAGAAGCTTTGTAGGAAGATGAATAAATTATTGAATCTAAATGGATGTGATCAATCTAGTTCAATGGTGATTTGTGGGTTTGAACTCATTTTCAGAGCTTGGAAATGGAAAGTGAAACTCAAACATTTGGTGTGAGTGAATGAAAGTTTGTGTGGTAAGGTTGTAAGGGGTTGGTAAATTTGAAAATGATTTTGGATGAGACACTTCATCTGATTTTATTCTAAGGAAAAAAATATTAGGATTAAATTCTAATATTAATATTTTGTCAATAATCACTTATAAACTTATAAGTAAGGTTTTGGATTCTAATATTAATATTTTGTCAAGATTTAATATTTTTAAATATAATCAAAATTATATATGAATAGGAGGTATAAGGACAACAAATTATGGATTGATATCCTCTCTATTTTTTTTTGTCCTTTTATTTTCTTTATTATTATAGTTTTATTGTATATAAAATCAATTAAATATTAATTAATATTAATTATATGTCACATGTCTTAAAAATGTGTGTTATTTACACAAAAAATCATAATAATGGAAAAAATGGAGAGACAAAGAAATGAAGAGGATATCAACCCACAAATTATATCATTATATCTGTTTAGATGTAAATTGCATTTGAATTTGCATCACAAGAATTAATTGCTATTAATTATGCTAAAGTATGGTGGATTAAGATCAACCAATAGACTAAGACACCCAACTAATAAAGTTAATACAGTATGACTTCAATAAACAAAATTAGTATCAAACAAATTTTTAAAATGATATTCTGTTTGTTCTTTTTGATATAATAAAATTGATACTGATTGTTCTCTTTCACAAAATTAGTATTTTTTTATTTTTTTAAATATTTTAAATAATCATAAAGTTAAATATAGGCGGTTTCAATTTACTTTTATATAAATTTTTTTTTTTGGATTTCTTCTGGATCATATTTTTTTGTTTTACTCTTTAATTTAAACATTGAATCTGAGATAAACTAAAAAAAATATTACAAGAATAATTTTAATGCATAGGAGGTAAAAAAATATAAAATTTTAATATTTTAAACGGAATCCAAAATAAAATTTTTACAAGAGAGTAAATCAAAACTCCCCTACATTACAGGTGTTATATAATAAATGATTTAAAATATCATAAACAAATTTTCAATCAATATTATTACATTAAATTTTAAAAACGACAAATATATATATATATATATATATATATATATATATATATATATATATATATATATATATAGAATTTTTATAATGACAAATTATTAATATATATTTATAGTCTTGTGGATACTTCATCCCTAACCTCAACTCTTTTTACTATTAATTCAACTGTTAGTTAAATACAATTAAGATATTTAGAAGTTCATTAGTAGTTAATTTCATTTATAACGAAAGGTGCATCACATTATTATAATTATGATAGACAATTAAGGGTTACCTACGGATGGGGCCAACTAGTCATTGCCAAGGTGAGCAAACTATATGTAATTCACTTCTAAGAGCAACTTTAACGTATGGTTGTTAAACCAAAATTTTGTATAGCTTACGTTTAGTAATAAAGAATTTGCATTATAGTACAGCTGACATGGCATTTAGTGAACTAGAGTTTAGTTTTCATTATCTATATAGTTAACGTTAACTATTCAATGTGAAACATATTGTAATATTATTTAATATTAATAAAATATTTCAACAGTATTAAATTAATAGTAATTTGAATAAAAAATATAAAATGTGGGATTAAATTTTTGTTTCTTATAGACAACCATCATTAAAGTAAAAAACTACTCAAATCAATTATAAATTTTTTAAATCCTACAAAATACTTTGGGCTCACAAAAAATATCTTAATTTATCCTTTTAATTTATTCTCATTAAAGATGCTCTAACTAATATGAAAATTTATAACATTAAGTGAATGAGTAACATAAAGCATCACATGTGAAATTTTATTAATGAAACTTTTGAATAGAAAAAATTGATGAAACATTAAAAACTTTGTTAAAAAAAAAAAAGATAAAAAAGACATTTTGTCTAAAACTTGTAGTTCCAATTAGACAGTGACAAATTAATTGCAGGCCTACAGTTAATTCCAATGACATTTGGCATAATTTGGATAATCTTATTTGGAGATTAGAGATCAAGATTTTTATTATAAGGTTTAAATACTTAGCCTAATGAAATTCTAGTTTTCTTTTTTGTTAACAAAACTAATTCTAAGTTAATATATGTTAAGAATAAAATAATCATTTAGAAACATTCAAGTCTAGTATATTCAATTAACAAGAAGATAAAGATAAAAAGTGTGTCACAATCTAGTCATTTGTCATTGTGAACATCGATTACTACTTGAAAAATCACTCAAGATATGATGTATTCATTGGATCTAACAAGGAGGATTAATAAACTTCATTAAATATGTTTTTAGAGATATTAATATACAAATTGATATTTTAAGAGTATTCATAAATATAAATAAACACATTAAGCATGCTAAAGACATTATAATAATTGTGTTTTTTGAAATAATAATATACAAAATGATATTTAAGAATATTAATACAAAAATAAACACATTAAGTAAAAGGGACCTAGATGAGATATCCATAATTGTAGGTGTCAATTTTTTAGGCTTTCAAAATTTAAAAGGTCCTCAATATTAAAGAACTCCCACTTGAATAAGCTTCAAAGACAAAAGTTCTCCAAATTAGCTAGTTCACAAATCTTTATTTTCTTAAGTCAATTTTTTTTTTCTAAAATAAATATTTTAAAAAAATCTGCGTCTTAGTAGTGATATGTAGATAAATATTATACTGAAAATATGAACATTAGAAAAAATTTATCAAGTTTTGTATTTACATTGTTTGGAGCGGCTATAAGATGGAAGCAAATAAATAATTGGTAGTTGTTTTATCTACTACTCAATTGAAATATATTTTCTTAGTTGAAGGAGTCAAGAATTCTATAGGATTAAGAGGGATGATTGAGGAGTTTGGAATAATTCAAGTATATGTATAAATACATTGTGATAGTTAAACGGTAATTTATTTGGATAATCTTTAAGTGTATCATGAAAGAACAAAGCACATCGACACGTATTATCCCTTCACTACAGACATGATAAATTCAAAAGAGATTGTGGTTGAGAAGGTTGTTCGGAAGACAATTTGAAGGATGTGTTCACCAATTCATTATATAGATCAAGATTCAAACATTGTTTGAATCTGGTAAATTTAGTCAAAGAGTGATTCAAGCTGGAAAGAACACTAAGGTCATTGATGGGTTAGTTGAAATCATTATCGTTTTTGAGTCAATGTGGAGATTTCTGGAGTGTTCCTCTAAAAAACTCAAGAAAGTCAAGAACTATTATGACTCAAATCTACTACAACCGTGAAGCGTTAGTTTGGAACATGGAGAATTTTCGGGAACTGTTTTTAAGCTTTTTAAATCTTTCTCAAACACGAGGCATTTGAGGGGAAGAGCAAGGTCTTTGGGCGCAGACGCAAGGAGTTATGGGAAAACAATTTTCTATGTGTTTATTCTCATCTTTTATCTTATTCTTGCTATTGCAATTCTGTTTGCACTAGTTGGTAGATTAATTTTGCTTAGGACTATTTATTGTGGTTGTGTTGTTATTTACCTCACTAATAATATTTCTTAATGTGTTTGATCTATTGAACATGTGACCCCATAAATAAGAGGGGATGATTGTTAAGGTTTTAAAAACGATAGTTTAAAACAAAATTATCTTCTAAAATAGAGTTTGAAAATATTTTATAAAAAAGTTTGAATATGCAGCGGAAACTTTAGGTAAAAAAATGTGCAGAGAGTAAAAGAGTTAACTGAAGAGAGATAACACCCAAGACTTATAGAGGGTTTTAAGTGTCTTACTCATCTTCCCAAAAACTGATCTTAAGAGTATTCAATAATGTTTGAGAGCTTTTGGGAAGTTAAGCCAACGAACTCCCTTATACAAAAAAAATGAAATTTCAGATTAAGTTCCAATCAAACAGAGAATTAAGGAATGAAATAGTTAGTTTTCACACCAAGACAACAAATGGAGGTTCGAGCGGTTAGTCTTTAATCCAAACTGAGATTTTGCACAGGCTGATCTCGAACCAAGTTAGAGTCTGGACTTGGCTATCCTATAAACCGTGCTGAGATTTTATACGGGTAAATCTCAAACCTACTGAACTTTTATATATGATGAACTCAGAAATCGAGTGAGATGTTATACCAAGATAATGTCAAACCAATATATCTTTTGATTGAGATGAGCTCAAGAACAATTGTGAATATTTTTCTCAGGTTACTCTTCATTAACCTAAAAGAAGATATTTTCTAAAAGGCAAAGCTCACGAACCAAACAGAGACTTATACTAATCCCTTCAAAAAGCTTTTATCCATGTCTATCTCCAAACCAAAACAAATACTTTCTAAGGAAGAATAATTTAATCAAGAGGAAAACAAACTCTTGGTAAATTTATAATAAATCCCTTACCCAGAATAATTTCCACACTAAACTCAAGAGTGCTCTCAAAGCACTATGAGTAAAAATGTGAGAAAAGAAAATGACTTAGAGAGATTGAGAGAAAGAAGAAAAGTGAGACATTCACATTTTTTTAGATATGAAAAATGACAGAGAAATTCTTTATTTTTATGCCAAGGGGTAGTATAAATTTGGAAACATTTTGGCAAAAATTTAAGTCACCTAATCGATTAGACAACCTAAATAATTGATTATTGAGATCCAAAATGGAAGATTTTGATAGAGATCTATTACCAATTATTAAGAGATTTTCATAATTGGTTATGGAATCGATTAGGCATCATCTAATCGATTAGGCCAAAAATCTAATCTATTAGATATTTGTAAAAATTTTATAATTAACCGAACAGTCCCCTAATCAACTTGCTAGGCCTAAAAAGTATTTTTTGGTGATTTAATTAAAAAATGTGAGACTTATCAATAAGATTTAGTGTGTATGGTTCAGGCATAATACTTCCACAAAATACTCTTATGTCTTTACAAGACATTGACCACTCAGACAGACACGATCTGACGAACTTTCACAATTTCTCTCATACTCTGAAGCTTCAAGGGTTGACATCATTATCATTGACTTTAGTTTAACATAATATCCTTAAGTCTTCTTAATGAGGTTTTAGATATCTTCATGCTGATTACCATCATTTGAAAGTTTAAGAGGTTAAGACATCGACGATCCTTGAAACAAAAGTCTTCACTTGAATGTCGTTTAATCATAGTGTTGAGTTCAAAGAGATGACTTGATGTTCAAAAAAATCTTCAAAGGGATAGCTTGAAACTTAGGCTTCGTCTTGATCAAGCACCATTATTTGAATAACATACCAAGCAACATCTCTTGATAAAAAAACTTGTCAAACACCATCACTTGAGCAAACTCGTTAAACAACAGTATATCACTTAAGTAACATACCAAACACCATCACTTGATAAACAACTTGTCTAACACAATTACGTGAGTAACATACTAAGCACCATCACTTGATAATTAGCTTGTAAAATATCATCACTTAAATAATCATATCCTTAAACAACAAGATTGTTGTTGACTCTTCTTAAGATAGTTGTCAACATCAAAATCGAGTCAGCATGTTGTTGCAACCTTTATATCTGTAAGCAGTTATATTTGCATGATTTTCACTTTTACAACGCCCCTCATTAATTTTTTATTAAAATTTTCATTTCAATCATGTCACGTGCTTTGTACTAGTATAGTTAAGATTATACAATATGAGCATGGGTGAAAAATCAGAAATACAACATTTGATAGACTGTTTTGTTAAGATAAGTTTGTGTATAGCTATAAATTGGTTACTGAAACTATCAAACTATATTGTATGGGTCTATCTAGATTCCGTTAAAGATGGATTCCACTTATAAAACCAATAAATAATGCTCAGTATTGCTAGAGTATGTTGATTTCACTTCTACTGATGTCTGAGAAGAAAGAAAACATCATTTGGGCTTTAGAAATGTGTCTTGATTTGGTTAAATCTTCAAATAGTAATCCCAAGCTAGTTGTGATTGATTAACTTATCTTCATTCCCTTCATTTGTTAAAATTATATGTGCTGACTTTATCTTATTTTTGAAATATGTGGAATGTAGTGAACTAGGTATAATGAAGGAGAGGCAAAAAGGGCTTGGAGTGATTATATAATGCATATTGGAAATAAAACAATAAACATTTTCAAAACAGCAGAATGTTAAAAAAATATTTGGTGAATAATATGAGTGGTATAGGTAAAATTTGGGATTTCATTAGCAACATGATAAGTTTGTAGGATTCTTATATACAAGTCTTATTTCAGAAAAACATGACTTTAATCAAACATAGATTAAAAGAAAAGGCGTTGAAGAATTCTTGGAAAATATTTTTCCTTTGCCCCTAGTTATGAGGACGAGAGACGTGCTCCTTGTATTTACAATGTTTGGGCGATCTCTTGTTTCGCCGGTGTTGAGAGAAAGTGTCACCGAGAACCACTTTTGTTGTGGCTCCACGATTTCTACGAGGTGCTGCTTCCCATGATGAGTGACCTCGAGGCGGAGAAACTTGTATACTCTGAGAAGTCTCATAGCTAGGAGGTGCACATTATGCTTTCATACCAATCTGTAAACGTCAGTGAGCAGTTAGTTAACTCCTTGTATGATTTGATTGGCTTAGAAATCTTGGAGGGTTTTGAATATTTTTGGTTTAGTAATTTGCGCTTCCGGTTGAGGCGGCTTGGAGGTTCAATCTTGAAGTAGCTGCTGGAGAGGTTGCTGGAGAGGTTGAAAGATCGATATGATTTGAAAAGTACTCTAATCATTTCTAAAAAGTACTCTGATCATTATAAGGAGGAGACGGAGGATGAAAGTATGAGACAGTTAGAGAAGTTACGAGAAATGGATCAGCTTCCTTTATTGGATATGGTGAAACTTCTCTTACAAGAGCAAGAGTGCGTATGGTCGCCTTAACGACGATTCTAACAGTGCGATGACGGTTGTCCTAGCTGGCTTAAACACTACCATTATCGATATAGAGTTTATTAGAGATTAGTACGGTGGATGAATCAGTTGTAGTGAAACAACAATTAGTATATGGTGAGTTTTCATGAAAATTTGTGAGAATCAGAAGTCAATTTTCATATATGACACCAATGTTTCGTAGCAAAACAAGAGATCACTTATGCACTATATGGAAGCTTCCTTGATGTGGTGGTATGGGTGTGACTTGTACGAGTGAGTGAATAAATACATGTTATGACACGTGACATGCTTATATATGGCAAATGGTTAAAATCACTCCTGCTTAATCTAGGTAGGTTATGGTAGGGCGTCTGGTCAAATTTGACGGTGTCTGATGAACCAATGAGTCCAATCGGGTGTGGGGTCTCTCCTCAAGACTCCACTTGTTTGTTACTATTCAACAAAGATGTTTTGAGTTAGGCCAATATTTTAAGTGTTTAAATGTCATTTCATGGTAGTTGGTGGGCACAATATTTTAACGTTTTTACACAACTTTTTTTATATAGACATTTGTACATACTTGAATTCTAATTTGTTACATAAATACAGCTCAATTAATAAAAGTATCATGGTAATATTGGATATGCTGATATGCTGAAGTGCAGATTTTAATCTGTAATTTTTTTTCACTTAATATTTAGTGTGTAAATTTTGTTACTAGCTTTTCAATATTAAAACTTTCTTAAGAGCCTACATCATTCAGTTAGATCTTCACATTGAACTAAAGACAATCACACAAGGAAATTTGGACATTACATATTCACAAAAAACATCAGTACATTAAATATATGTATATTCTCACTAAGGGCTCAAAGAGAGCACTAATAGCAGGGAAGACCTTAGGGCTCAAAGAGAGCACTAATAGCAGGGAAGACCTTAGGGCTCAAAGAGAGCACTCACAAATGTGTGTACATGTTAACTCCCTTCAAGTGCACTAGCAGGGCTCAACCCTGAACTTTCAGATTCGATGTTTTCTTGTTACCACCAGACCAAATCTTTGGAGTTAGCTGGGCAAATCTTTATCATTTCCTAACTTCCTTTGAAAAATCTAATCCTAGAGCAACACCCTAAAATGGGAATGCAACAAGTTTACTCGGTTCCGTGTACAAAGCCTTTCTGGAAAGAAATGATACAGAAAAGGAATACATAGATCAAATTATATCTATGTAGACTCAGAAAAACAGACTTAGAAAAACATGTGAATGGATAGATAACAATACAATGTTCATCCCACAGTATCACAAGGAAAAGAAAAACAACGAAAATTGAAATGATAAAATGACACAGCTAAAAAGCTCAACAGTAAAGAGCCAAATCAATTGTCATTTTGTCTATCAAATAAAACGCTATAAAGTAATGTAATCCGTACATACTAGAATTGTTTTATCGATCATTTAGTTTCTTACTTCAAACATAACACTATAACAGCCAATGTAAAGTAAACAAAACGCTGCATACTGTAATCTGATGAGCTTGACATTCATTGAGATATCATTGGTAATCGAATATTGGATTGACGAATGTGAAAAAATGATAATATCATATAAATTGGATACCTGTGCAACATACACTTTAAAGGCAGTACGGAAATTTCGCTACGTGAATATGATTTCAATTTCCCTCCCTTGATTTATTATCTTCGATATCAGTAATATTGGTCTCAGAATTGCCTTGCATTTCAAGCAACTTTAGTTGTTCCTCCTCGTTTTCTTGTGCAGTTACCTGCTTTACATCTTTTGGTTTACTTGTTGATTGCTGATACAGAACCCCGCCTAGCATACAAATCAAAAGACCCAATGTACCGATCCACGTCGAGTGCTTATCCCATATCACCAAATTAATCATAACTGTCAACAACTTGTTCACTATACCAAGAACAGTAAATCCAGTTGCAGAAATAGCCCTGCGGCACGAAAATCCAAAGAACGAGATTGCAAGACCGAACAAGCACGATAACGCCACAGGCAAAACCACCGAAAACGAGTGCCAATCAGACTCATCACTGATCTCATGCTTTATCTTCTTCAACTCACCCATTATCAACAACTCCAACGGAAAAAGCATAAGAGCCTCAATATTATTGTACAACACAAGACCCCAAGTGTTCAACTCAATTGTCGTAACCACATGCTTTATATAAACAAAATCAATCGTCATACTAACCAAATACGCCACCGCCCACATATAAGCCGCGAAAGTAAACTGATAATCTGTCGCAACATAAAGCACACTTCCCGCAAAAATCGTACCCAACGAAGCCCATGTTTTCAAAGACGGCCACGGTCGATGCAAAAACACCGACTCCCCTACCGCAACGAAAATCGGAACAGCCGATCGGAACACAATGAAAGTATCCACATTGGCATGCAACAACAACTCACTGTTGGTAAAAAGAGACAGATAGAAAATCACAGCAGCCGGTAAAAACCGCCACATCGTCATCAGATCAAGCTTGTCATGTTCGACAAGCTTAAGCCATCCGCAGAGAAAAACCCCGGCGGCACTCGTGAAGTACTGTAAAGCGGTAAGAGCTCCCGGGTAAGGGAATTTCATGACAGCCCATTTGTTGATAATTGACAGTAAAGATGCAGATAAACAGTAACCAGCAGCAACACCATAGATTGAAACTTGATGAACAATTGAACTATACCAATTTCCAACAACACCGTCATTTTCATTCACATTCAAATTCAAGTTATTACTACTAGTAGGATTATTAACTTTTGACATCTGAACAAAAAGCAAAAACTATTAGTGTTAATATCAATCTAAATAATCTGAAAAAACAGATCTTGAAAATTCAATTTGTGAGTGTAGTGTGAAGTAAAGCATGGTGAAATGTGAAACGACAAGGGTTAGTGCGTTTTGGGTATTGTAGAAGAAATTGAGAGAAGAGAAAAAAAAAGTAACTAACCAGAGAATGGAAATTGAAGAGAGCGTTGTGAAGTGAAAGCGAAATTCTTCGTTGTTTCTAAATCTTTTTGTTCGTTTTTGATTCGTTATTGGGTTTTGGTATTCTGTTTTTGGGTTCCTTACCGTGTCTTCCAGGTTGTTATTAAAAAAAGTTGTGGGGTAATTTAGAGGATACATTTGACTTTTAAATTTAACTTTTTCATTTTTGATAAGCTAAATTTAAGTTATTGTTACATGTGAATCTCGTTTACTTTTTATTAAATATTTTTAATAATATTATAAAATAAATGTATAAAATCGGTTATCTATAAATAAAAAATTAAAATTTAATTGATATGGTTAATCATAATTGTTAAGTTTATAAAAGGTAATCAAAATCTGACCGGATATTAAATCAAGAGAATTTCTTACTTCATTTTCTTGGATTCTTAGTCGTCATGTGCATTTTTAAAAATACTTTTTGTTTTTTGAGATATATCTTCGAATGCATTTTTTTTTACTTAACGTTGATTTTTTCCGTAACTACATCTACGAAATGTTTCCGTTTATTTAGCTCTAGAACAAATCAGAATACATTTGCGCCAGAGTCCGTTCTCCTCCCCCATTTTTCATTTTTCAACTTCTTCACTCTCAATATCTCCAAACTCTCTCAATCCTCAAAAACACTTTTTCACCAAACTTAATTGTTTTCAATCAAGTTCGACAAGGAGCATTCATCATCTCAACGATCAAGACACTCCAAATCATTCAAAGCTCGATATAATCGATAAGTTTTTGACTTTATGAGGTATTTTCGAGTATTTCCCGTAAACGAGTTAGAATATAGTTTTAGGGGTAGAAATCTTTAGATAGTTTTAGAAACATAGTTTAGAGACAATGTAGGTACTCTTTGTTGGTTGAAACAGACGATCAAGACTTCAAAAAATCAATTTTCATGGGTAAGAAATGTCATTGTCGTGGCTGTTAGAGTTGCAGGAAGTTTCGGAGCTATACCTACTGATCAAATTAACATTAGGGAAATTCCGTAGATGCAGCTCCGGAAAAAATCAAATTTTATGAATTCTGGGTTCTTCCGTAGATACATATACGGAAGTTTTTCATATATTTACATCCGGAAGTAAACAATGTTAATTTTTTCTTTTTTGTTTTTTAATTTATTTATATATAATTGTTTTTTTCTGGGTTATATCTTGCATACATTATGGCAGACAGAGAAAATAGATTGCGATTTGGACGGGTTTCACAGCATGCATCTATGAGACGCGAGCAGAGCCAGACCACCGTTACCGAAGCCGATACAACTGAGGCACATCTTTCTTCATCACATTCTCGGGATATTTCCTCAACCTCATATCCCACCCCATCATCCATTTCTTTATCCCAGAGGCGTCAGGATTCAGACGAAGGTTCATCACAGGCCCCGTCCTCCCGCAGGCCTCGTCGGGATACCCCTGGTTCTCCTCCTACCGATGATCCAGTGCCACCTCTAGAGGATGATAATCCACCACCGGAGAATGTTGGTGACGAAGATGATGATGGGTCTGAGGGTTTCCCAGTGGGTCCCTCAGATATGTCTCTGTTGACAGGGTACGCTGACCATACTGCTAGACATGTCTGGTATGGAGAGGTAACATTACTTATATTGTTTTATTTTTTTTCATTGAAAATTTATAATTTGTACCATTATTTCTTATTAACATTGTTTCTTATTTATGGAAATTTTCATACTTATCAGTCGCAAAAGTTCTATAACCACGGGCAGAAGATATTATCTTTGAAGCAGTCACGGAAGGCTTGGTTCCAGGATGTCCTTACCACCTCTGGTTTGAAGGACCATTGTGAGATCGGTTACAGCCTGATCCATAATGGGGTACTGATGGGCTTTGCAGCGAGATGACACCTTGAGACGTCCTCCTTCCATCTACTGCACGACGAGCTCACGATCACCCTGGACGACATTCCTTGTCTGCTACATATACCAATCAGGGGTACCCTCCTCCATCATGGTAGGATGACGAAGGAGGATACGAAAGAGTTGTTGGTCGAGGAGCTTGGGGTTGATCCATTGGATGCGCTGAAGGAGGTGAATAGGACCAGAAGGGCTCATGTCAGGTTCTCCTTTCTCACCCATAGATTTGGTGAGGCACTCGTTGTTGCACGCCAGAAAGATGGTGATCCAGCTGAGGTTGAGATACACAGGCAGCATGTGTTGAGATGTTATTTTCTATTTTTAGTCGGCACTCAACTGTTTGTGGACACTTCTTCTAGATATAAAGACGTCGCTTACCTGAGGTACTTTTTGGATTCCACACGGATCCATGAGTACAACTGGGGGGCGACTACTCTAGCTTACACGTATTCGAGGCTGGGAGAGGGATGTTTGTGGAAGACCAGGATTGTGGCAGGGAGCGTGGCACTACTTGTGGTAACAATCTTATATCCTTCTATTTTTTCATTTCTTTTCCTTTTATATTTGAGATAATGCTTGATCCTGATGTTTTTTATTTTCATTTCAGGCTTGAATATTCCAGCACTTTCCCATGATCGTTGGGTGGGGGAGTGTGCCTGATTACACATAGCAGATGTCGCGTGCCCGTGCCTTTCTCCCGCTTAAGGGAAACCAGACGGTTGACCCTTATAGAGTCTATCTCGATCATCTGGCTGCTGAAAAAATCTGGTACGACGTCTATGCTGATCACCGTGTGACCCGCCCGTTTGATGACATCTCCCTATTCTCAGGATGATTGACATGCAGTTCGACCATCACTGTTCCATATTTGCTCGAGCGCGTCACGCGGCAGTTCGGCTACACTCAGACCATTCTCAGACACCCAACTGTCTTCGCTCCTCTCGGCTTGACATGTATGCAGATTGAGGAGATCTATGTCGACTACCAGAGGCACATGGTATCTGACGAGGCTCGGGAGACCAGAGCACCGAGATACTGGAGTTGTGTTGATGGCTACATCATGTGGTTCTTCACCGTCTCACACCCCTACATGGTGTCTACTGCCGAAGGATCACCGTCCAGACCAACTCATCATGAGATCTTAAAGGAACACCAATCTCAATTGGACCACACTCAGAATGTCCTTCCAGTCAAATGGTGTAGGTTGAGATATAGGTAGATCTTAATGTAAGACTTTCAATATGTATTACCCTTCTAAAGTAGTAAGAAAACTTATTATTCTCAACTAACTTCTCTATGTAAATGGCCCCTCTTATGTTTTATGACAAAGAAAATGTATTTTCTGATAAATTTTATATAAGTATTGAGTTTATTAAGATAACTTTATATTCTATAAATGATAATTTTCTATTGATAATAACAATCATTAACTTTATTCATGTTGCAATCTAAAGTAGTAAGAAGACTAAGGATGAAACTTTTGAGAATTTCAAAGGTTGGAAGACACTGGTCAAAAATCAGACTGACATAAAGGTCAAGATGTTGATAATCGACAATGGCCATGAATTTGGCAATGATGCGTTCGACAATTTTTGTGTTGCCCCAAGTATTGCAAGGCATAAAACTACTGCAGGTACTCCACAACAAAATGGTTTATCAGAAAGGTTTAATCGAACTATTTTGGAAAGAGTTAGATGCATGTTGACTAGTGTTGGGTTAAAGAAGGTGTTTTGGGATGAGGCTGTTTCGACAGCAACATATCTGATAAACATATGTCCTTCGACTGTGTTAGATATGAATACACCTGAAGAAGTTTGATCAGGACATCCACCAGATCTCGATAAACTTAAAATATTTGGCTGCGTGGCCTATGCTCACATTAGGCAAGACAAGGTTGAACCTATAGCTCTGAAATGCATGTTCATGGGATACCATGAAGGATTCAAAGCTTATAGGCTATGGTGCCTAGAGCCAGGTCATAGGAGTTGTATCACCAGTCGAGATGTAGTTTTCAATGAAGCTGAGATGGCCTTCAAGAAAACTGATGATGATGTCGGAGAGTTAGAACAGGGAGAGATTATTGTTGAGGTGGAGCATGTTGATGTTGAATTGTGTACCCCAGATGAAGTCGAAGAAGAAGTAGAAGCTGTTGTCGAAGATGAGGAGACTGAAAATGACTACCTGCTAGCAAGAGACATGTCGAGGAGAATCATTAAGCCACCTCAGAGAATTGGGTATGCAAATCTTATAGCATATGCCTTAGTCTCTACAAGTAAGGTTCTATATAAAGAACCTAGAAACTATAAGGAAGTTATGAGGAGTCGAAATAGGACTGAATGGCTGAAGGCCACGAATGATGAGATGAAATCTCTTCTTGATAAGAAAACCTGGAAACTGATCAAGAAATTTGCTGGAGTCAGGTTAGTCAGTTGTAAGTGGACATTCAAAGTTAAAGAAGGAATCGAAAGAGTGGCATCAAAGAGATATGATTATTTTAGTGTAAAATAGCATATTAAATGTTAATATGATTATTCTAGTAGTGTATATATAAATATAATTGATTAAAAAATATTAAAAATTACTCTAAAATTATAACATGAATTTTATATTTAAATTTAATTTAAGAAATATTATATTATAAATATTTTGAAATATATCTAAATTAAAATAAAATATATTAAAAATTATTACTATAAAAAATATAAAGTTAAATATGTTTGTAGTTCTTCTAAATATTTCATATTTCATTTTTAATCCCTTAAAAAATTTTCTTCAAAGATTGATGCTCTTAAAAATTTTCAATCACATTTTTTTTGTCAATTCTCGTAAAACTGTCTCTAAAATCGTCGCTAGTTCAATCGTTCTCACTAAATTTGTTGCTAACTTGGTTGCTGAGTTGCAAAAGTGCGGATGAAAAATTTTAGAAAAAAAATGTTTTGATTAAAATTTTTTTAGGGGCTAAAATTAAAATGTAATATATTTTAGAGTACTACAAACATATTTAACCTAAAAATATAATATTAATAATTTTTTTAATTTTTAAATATATTTTAAAAATAAATCCATCATATAAGTTTTTTTATTTTTTAATCTCTAAAATAATTTTTAAAATTAATATTATCAAACACATTTTATTTTATTTTATTCTTAGAAAAATTAAAAATAATTTATAAAATAAATTTTAAATATTAGAAATTAAAATTCATTCAAACAGTTTCTAAATTTTTATTTCTCTACAATTGATTTTGTTTTAAATAAAAAATAAAAGAACAAAAAAATGAAAGAAAAATAAACAAATAGTAATGAGATTATTATTTAGCCAGTGTTTGGTTACACATTTTTACTCTCATACTCATGTATCCAATACCACAATTTTTTTTTTAAAAAACTCTGTCACTTAGCTTCTGCATCAACTGGATTCTTTTGATCCGTTTCTTTCGGTTTACTAGTTGATTGCTGATACAAAACCCCACCTACCATACAAATCAAAAGACCCAACGTACCAGCCCACGTCGAGTGCTTATCCCATATAACCAAATTCACCATAACTGTCAACAACTTGTTCACTATACCAAGAACAGTAAATCCAGTTGCAGAAATAGCCCTCCGGCACGAAAATCCAAAGAACGAGATCGCAAGCCCGAACAAACACGACAGCGCCACCGGAAAAACCACCGGAAAAGAGCGCCAATCAGACTCATCATTGATCTCTTCCTGTAATTTCTTGAACTCGTTCATTATGAACAATTCCAATGGAAAAAGCATAAGAGCCTCGATGTTGTTATACAACACGAGACCCCAAGTGTTCAATTCTATAGTGTTAATCACATGCTTTATGTAAACGAAATCTATCGTCATGCTAACCAAATACGCTACCGCCCACGTGTAAGCCGTGAATGTAAACTGATAATCAGTTGCAACGTAAAGCAGACTTCCGGCAAAGATTGTAGCCAAGGAAGTCCATGTTTTTAAAGTCGGCCATGGCCGGTGCAAAAACATGGACTCCCCGACGGCGACGAAAATTGGGACGGCGGATCGGAAGACAATGAATGTGTCTACATTGGCATGTAACAGCAACTCACTGTTGGTGAAAAGAGACAGATAAAAAATCACAGCGGCGGGGAAAAACCGCCACATTGTGATCAGGTTAAGCTTGTCATGTTCGACAAGCTTAAGCCAACCACAGAGTAAAACTCCGGCAGCACTAGTGAAGTACTGCAAAGCGGTAAGAGCTCCCGGGTAAGGGAATTTCATGACAGCCCATTTGTTGATGATTGACAGTAAAGATGCAGATAAACAGTAACCAGCAGCAACACCATAGACTGAAATTTGATGAATAATTGAAGTGTACCAATTTTTAATAACAACATCATTCTCATTCATATTCAATTTATTCATTTTTCTCATTTGTTCTTGGGTTTTGTTTACTGTGCCTGTTTTGTGACTAAAAAAAGTCATGAGGATGATTATAAAAATGCATATGGCTTTTAAATTACTTTTTGATAAATGTATAACTTCTTTTTATAATTTTATTCAATGAATAAATTGGTCATCTATAAAATAATCTATAATGATATTTATTTATATTTATTTATATTTATGTATTAAATTAAATAAGTTGTTGATACTTATAAATTAAAATTTTTTTAAAAATATTATAATTTAATTTAATTTAATTAAAAATTATGATTTTGAATTCAATTTTAAACATGTGACATTTTGAAATTCTTTAAAGGAGTTTGTCTAACTATTATGATCCTACATAGTCGAATAAATTAATTTTTGTAGTTGTAGATGTTTAATATGTTTTTAAAATGGATACTTTTAAGATTATTTGTAAGCAATATATTGTTCTTACTAAAATTATTGTAACCTCTATTTGTTTTTTTAATTACAATTTTGATGCGCATATTTTATCTGATTCACAGAGTTAATTATAATATTTTAAACTCAAATTTTTTTTTCTTTTTATATTTATACACTTAAGGTGATATATTTATTTTAATCACGTGTTACTTGTGAAACATAACAAATCATCACATAAAAATATTTTATAAAATTTTATGTTTTGAATTAATCTCTATTTTTTTTTCATATCTCTTTGGTTATTTTGAGTTAAATATTTTATTATTTTAAAATGAATATATAGAATAATAAATATTTTTTAAAATATTATTCTTAGATAATTATAAATATTATAAAAATATATAAACTAGTTTATTTGTTTCTCGGTCAAATTTTTGTGTAAAAAATATCCAGAATATAATTTGTTCATATTTGGGAAATAAGTTTACTATATAATTTCATTGTTTATACAATGTATATAGACTATATATAGTAATAAAGTCAATTTATTGAATTAAAAAGAAAAATAAAAAAGAATGAATGGATGTAAAACCTAACCAATCAAAATACTAACAAAAGTCATAATTGAAATTGTTCAACCCATATCTTAAAAAAAATTTAAATCATAAATAGAAACTAAATCTCACCAAATATCATAATCAACAAAAAAATATGCATCGACTAATCTATGTGCAAAAGCATTTTTCTCTCTAAAAATCTGAAATATCTTAAATTTAAAGATTCGTGTTGTTTGAAAAGTATTCTTCCATTTAATTAAAAGATTCTAAGGGACAATATTCAAATTTAAAAATACACAAATTGTCAACATTAAATTAATTTCAAGCCAAATATTTCTCTAATTCTACTTGTTAGCATATTTTAATTAGGGATTAAACCCCTCATTAATGCAACAACCTCTTTACAAAACAAAAATTTATGATAGAAAATGATCCTTAGTTAGACATGGCATCACAAATTATTTGCTTTATTTCCTAGGGAATAAGCCCCTTGCAAAATTGACTAGGGGATAAACCCTCGCAAATTGTTGTCCATAAATTATAGACTGCTGTACTACAGGCGTAGATTACACCAGTGACACAATTGTATCAGTATTTTGCTAAGAGATAAGTCCCTAGCAAATGCATCTATACTTTTCTTTTTGTGAGGGGCAAAGTCTATAGCGCAGTATGTCACACATTTACTTGGAGTTAAGCCTGTAACAAATGCAATTACGTTTTGGAATTTGTGAGGTGATTAACCCGTTGCAAATTGCTAATTATTTTGTAGGGATTAACCCCTACCTAATATTTACAATATTATGTAAAAAGTATTATAACTATATTATTATAATTATAATACAATTATAATAAATAAATATATTTTTTTTAAGTTTGTACAATAAAATTAGAAAATAAAATCATTTATGATTAAAAGTGAAATAAAAATAAATTATATATATATATATATATATATATATATATATATATATATATATATATATATATATATATATATATATATATATATATATATATATATTCATAAAAATAAAAACAATTCATGATTAAAGATGAAATAAAAATAAAATTTAAAAATACATATTAAAAGTATCGTATTTCAACAAATTAATTATTTTCTTCCTCATCCTCCTTATCCTACTTATCTCCTCCTCTGAAACCTTGATTCATATGTGAGACTATGCGCGCTCATTTGTAACTCACATTGCTTCCTCATCCTCCGTTATTTTCCTTCTCATTCTTCCTCCGCCTCTGCTTGTTTTCTCCTCATTTCTTCCATTTCCTCATTTCTTCCATTTCTGCATTTCCTGCTGCTACTCAATGACAAATTTGACAGAAGAAGAAAAAGAGTACAGAAGAAGAAAAAGAGTAAGGGTGAGGCGTGCAAAATAGATGTTAAAGAGTGCGATAGTAAAATGTGATATTGATTAAAATCTAACTTGTCATACTAGCGATGAGCTTTAGGAAGGGTATGAGAAGAGTTAACTTTCCGTCCGTCTTTTTAATAGATAATGATTACATAATGATTTTATGATTTTGATTTCTTTATAATGAAATGCAATATTTTAGAGTCAATTTTGATTCAAAGAAATATTTTAAAGTTGGAAACAATAAATATTTTATTAAATAATGCAATAATATATATTACTTGTTGTTGTAAGGTTGTATTTTTTTAAGGAGTTTTTTATATAGTAAATAATGTACTTTCATTATTAAGGAGTTTTTAAAAACAATCAGTTTAATTTTGTATTAACTTTTATTATTTTCCTAAAATAAATTCTATAATTTATTGAAGAGTTTTTTTATTGGTTGTTAACAACGCTACAGAAACAAATATAGTATTTCAATTTTAAAATGTCTTCATATTGTTAAACTTTTTACGAGGTGTTTATTTTAAAAATTATGTAATTTTATCTTAAAAGATTTTTATTAATATCTAAGTTAGTAAAGTTCATTTAGTAAAGATTTTTATTAAGTGTTTATAGTAATAACTTTTAATATCTAAGTTATTAAAAGATTTTTATTAATATCTAAGTTTTTAAAAGATTTTTATTAATATCTTAAAAAATTATGTAATTGATAACAAATAATCATCATAAAATCACTTGTTAAAATTTTTAATAACTTTATTATTATTTATATAATAATTAACCAACTTTTCTATATAATATAATACTGACAAAAGACTATTCATATTATTATAATTATTATTGTTAAATTTTATTCATGATGTTTTTGCCGTTCAAAAATTATTTGACGGTTTTGATTTCTAAAGATAGAGTTGGTTAGATTTCTAAGAATTCTCAACGGAACATCTATCGGTGAAAACTTTAATCTAATAGGGTTTAGACTCAAAATGAGTTTGACCTTATAAAATAGACAATGTTTTTTTAGATGGATTACGAATCAACCATAAGCATTAGAAAAAGTTCAGATAACAAACTAGTTTAAAGTTAACTATAGAAACCAATTTGAATGTTCGGATTGGATAACTGGATCAAAAACCAATTCGGGTTGGATAACTGGTTTTAAAACCAATTTGAATTGGATAACTGGATCAAAAACCAGTTTGGTTGGATAACTGTTTTTAAAAACAGTTAACTGTTTCAAAACTAGTTCGGTTGGATAACTGTTTTCAAAACCAGTTTGGAATGGATAACTGTTTTTAAAAAAGTTCGGCTTGGATAACTGTTTTTAAAAAAGTTCGGCTTGGATAACTGTTTTTGTTCGGCTTGGATAACTGTTTTTAAAACAGTTCGGCTTGGATAACTGTTTTTAAAACAGTTCGGAATGGATAACTGTTTTTAAAAACAGTTCGGTTGGATAACTGTTTCAAAAACAGTTCGGTTGGATAACTGTTTCAAAAACAGTTCGGTTGGATAACTGTTTCAAAAACAGTTCGGTTGGATAACTGTTTCAAAAACAGTTCGGTTGGATAACTGTTTCAAAACCAGTTCAGAATGTTTCCAAAACCAGTTTGAAATGGATAACTGTTACCAAAACCAGTTTGAAATGGATAACTGTTTCCAAAACCAGTTTGGATGGATAACTGTTCTCCACGTCCAGTTCGGGATGGATAACTGTTCCAAAACCAGTTCGGGATGGATAACTGTTCCAAAACCAGTTCGGGATGGATAACTGTTCCAAAACCAGTTCGGGATGGATAACTGTTCCAAAACCAGTTCGGGATGGATAACTGTTCCAAAACCAGTTCGGATGGATAACTGTTCCAAAACCAGTTCGGATGGATAACTGTTTCAAAACCAGTTCGGATGGATAACTGTTTCAAAACCAGTTCGGATGGATAACTGTTTCAAAACCAGTTCGGATGGATAACTGTTTTCAAAACCAGTTCGGAATGGATAACTGTTTTCAAAACCAGTTTGGAATGGATAACTGTTTTCAAAACCAGTTCGGAATGGCTAACTGTTTTTAAAACCAGTTTGGAATGGATAACTGTTTTTAAAACCAGTTCGGTTGGATAACTGTTTTTAAAACCAGTTCAGAATGGATAACTGTTTAAAACCAGTTCAGAATGGATAACTGTTTTGAAACCAGTTCAGAATGGATAACTGTTTTTGAAACCAGTTGAGAATGGATAACTGTTTTTGAAACCAGTTGAGAATGGATAACTGTTTAGAAACAGTTCAGAATGTTTTCGGAATGGATAACTGTTTCCAAAACCAGTTCGGATGGATAACTGTTTTCAAAACAAGTTCGGAATGGATAACTGTTTTCAAAACCAGTTCGGAATGGATAACTGTTTTCAAAACCAGTTCAGAATGGATAACTGTTTCATAACCAGTTCAGAATGGATAACTGTTTAGAGAACCAGTTCCGAATGGATAACTGTTTAGAGAACCAGTTCGGAATGGATAACAGTTTTTAAAACAAGTTCGGAATGGATAACTGGTTTTAGTAAAAAACAGTTCGGATAACTGGTTTTAGTAAAAAACAGTTCGGATAACTGGTTTTAGTAAAAAATAGTTCCTGATAATTGGATTAAAATCCAGAACTGGATTCAAAAACCGAACT